AGAGAGAGAGAGAGAAGATTGAGAAGAAGCTACTATGATTAACATACTGTGCTTCTCAATATGCAGTTATATTCAGTAGGTTCTCTAACTATGCATTGGGATCTCCCAGGAGCTCATGAGCAACTTAGAGGGAGCTGGCAGTTGTTTAAAAAATGTTAACCTGGTCAAGTGGATGCTCTGTTAAAACCCACCCTGCGTTTTGCTCCCCACTTTGCCTGGACAAGCTGTTGCAAAATTGCCCAGGCAAAGCAGACACAAGTTTTGACAACATCTGAGCAAAGCAGGAACTCTATCAAAACTCATTCCAGGCTTTGCTCTTCATTTTGACTGTGCAAATCCCATTCACAGTTGTGGTACCACAACTCTGAGACTTTGGGCCAGTCACTCCCTCTCAGCCGTAGAAAGGAGGCAATGACAAACCACTTCCAAAAATCTTGCTAAGGAAATTAAAGGAAATATTCCAGGCACTCACGAGGAGTCAGAACTGACTTGAAAGCACACACACACAATATTTTATTTTACAGGCAATAACTGTTATTTAGTATTTATTATCTCATTTTTAAAAAATCCTGGCATTATCTCCCACTTTTTTTGGGGGGGGGGGAGGTTTGACAGGCATATATACACACATATATGCATACATACACATTTATGCCTACTTGGGGGGCAAGATATCTTCAGAACTGACTTTAGCTAGAATTGGGAACCCAAAATTGACAAAGTAGGGAAGGTGGTCATTGTTTAGGATTTTTATCTATGTTTCTTTTTCCTCCTGTCTTCCCTTCCTTTTGGGATGGGATCATCTTAAAATCAGGTTTATCCTCCTTTGGGGTTTACTTTGGCCTGTGAGTTTTGTTCTTATTTCATGGTTATCAACCCGATCAGGAGATAGGAATGTTTTAAAAGATCTAAACTTTGGATGCTGAGGTAAAACTTCACAAACTAATGTCAAATTCCAGGCATTCCATTTAAGAACAGAAAGTTCATGCAACTCAGAGAGCAGTTCAAATAAGGCTTTGAACTGATGCGGAAGTGAAGTTTAAAGGGAAGTAGTATGGGGAGAAAGATATTATACAAATAAACCTTGTACATCATTTCAAGTTGTCTATACCTGTTAGTTACTTAAACAGAGTGTCATCAGATTGGCTAAATACTTTTCTAAGTAGTGTCTCCCTCTGACAAATTTGTTTAAAGAAAGGAAAGGAAAGGAAGGATCTTGATATCAAGATCTTGCTGAATTAAGTTACAAAATGTAGGGACCAAAAAGTCAAATCTCAGGTAGGTCTGTTCTCTCCTTATTATCCATGAAACATAATTCAATGTATGAAATATATGCATACACACACAGAGCTTTGTTGGATCAAACTGTAAACAATTTTTCCCTCTCCAGGTGGGTGAGACATGGATAACAAACTGCACCAAATCAACATGTTTAGGAAACAACAACATTGTGATAAGTAAAGTGAAGTGTCCACCAGTACAGAATATTGTGTGTGAAAATGGCTACCCACCAACAAAAATCTTCTCAGAGGATGGTTGTTGTTATCACTATGAATGTCAATGTAAGTTAAAATGTATTTCTGAATGGTTTTGTGGAAATAATGTAACTTGATCAGCTTTTCATAGTATGAGTTATTTCATTGGTATTATTAATCTCTGGGTTCAGTGTTTTTTAAAGTCCTAATTGTCACCTTTTTTTCCTCTAATTTATCAGGTATTTGTAGTGGCTGGGGTGAGCCTCACTTTATCACATTTGATGGAGTCTACTACAATTTCTTGGACAATTGCACTTATGTACTGGTGCAGCAAATTATACCAAAATATGATAATTTTAAAGTCCTTATTGATAATTACTACTGTGATTCAGAAGATCAACTTTCCTGTCCCCAGTCTATTATTATACACTACAAATCTTCGGTCGTAGTGTTAACTCGCCAACGCTTTAATGGAATAGAAACTAACAAGGTAAAATTTGAAAGTACGATCCAGTGCCATTCACCAGCAGAACAGCTCCCTCCTCCTTGTATATAACCTCCATTCATATTTCAAAATCCTCTAATTCTTTGGAACAAATCTGGGATATGTGTGAGGTGTTGCAGAAGGATGAGAACTTCTCTCTCTCTTGTGGAAATGGAAATCTTCTCATATAATGCCATAAGCAGTCCAATGTAAAATGTTTCAAGTACCTCTCTTATCATGCAATCCTAGGCTTGCTTATTCAGAAATAAGCCCTTTGAGTTCAAAAGGATTTATTCTGAATAAGGAGGTACAGTATTCTCATATATTAATGTCTAGAAAATAGTGAGATTTGTTTAGGCCTTTAGCCATAAATTAATGAAGTTAAAGATACATTATGTTGTATCTAGAGATCTGAGTGGAGATGGACAGAACCTAATTTTCTGAAAATGGGTAGAGGTGGTCTAGGGTGTTTATGGGGAGGGCAAGTGATGACAAGACTCAGGTCATAGGCTACATCATTTAGCAGAATCTTCCTACTTTCAAGGGAGCATCTAGGGAGATGGCTGAGGTCTGGCAGAAAGAGGAAGGGTGGAAAAGCCAGCCATCCGCAATAAAGATTAGATTAAAAACAATTTATAGAACAGCAAAGAACACTGAAGAATAATGAATAAATGGATTAAGCAAATCTATGCAAAATGTGTAGATTATTATTTTCACATGCAGGTGCATCATTTTTTTAAAAGTACATAAGATCAAAAATGACTCTGATACAAAATTGCTCTCTGTTGCAAAATTTTTCTTCTATGCAGATCTATTTCAATGGGAAAGTTGTCACAACAGGTTTCCAGAAAGACGGTATTTATATCTACATTATTGGCATTAATATGGTGGTTGAAATTCCTGAAGTTGGAGCTATTGTCACCTACAATGGTTTAGTCTTCTCGATAAAGCTTCCATACAGCAAGTTTGGCAACAATACTGAAGGACAATGTGGTAAGAAAAATGTTTCAATCTCATCAAAGCTCTTGTGGTTCCATGAAACATTTACAATCACTTATGCATTTAAAGAATACTTTATATATTTTCTCTTAGAAAAGTGCCTGCTTCTCTAGTATACTCTTGACAGTCATCTCAAAATGTCCCTTATTTTTCATTCAGTCTGGATATTAGATCTAACTACTGATGTAAATAAAAATGGAAAAATACAGCATTTATCTCAAAAGAAGTGATATTTTTTCCAGGAGTATTCAGTAAAATAGTCTAGGGGCTCTGAAAGCAGATCTAGAAGCTATCATAGCTCAGCAAGGCAATAGCTGCCTTACTCACACATGATGCAGATTGCAGGCTATCTTCCTGATACTATTTTCTCTCAAAAATCTGTTTTTCTCCAACTGCTTTTATGTCAGCTCTTGCAAACAACTGCAGAACAGCTTCTACTCACTGTTTAGTACACTGTGCGTCAAAGTTTTGGTACCATCACTTTTTGACTTATGGTCTGTTGGCAGAAAAGAGTGCATGCTATTTATTGAAGCAAGGGAACTCAGGCTGGAAAGTGTTCCAACACTATTAAGAAACTGAGTAAGGAGCTGTAAAAGATTGAATTCTTGATATCTGCTTTTCCTAAGGAACACATGCACACACACACGCATAAGAAATATAGGAGCAAAGGATAACTTGAAGTTGCCCATGTTTGCAGACCAACTGGACTGAAAACAAACTCACATTGCAGCAACTAGCAACAACAATTACTGTTCTACAATCACTAGAACATGTGGCCATTATAGTACTTTTACTTCTCCTATAGTTGCAAGATGTGTGTCTTGTGCTTATGCTGTAAACACAATGAGTATTACAGTGTACTGTTTGCTCTGCCCTGCTGAGCAGCAATAGAGTTTTGTTATGGAGTCCTTGGTGTTCTCCTTTACCAAAGTAACAACCCGACCTCTTGTAAGAGGAGCTGTGTAAAAACATTATTCAAATGAGCACAAGCACACTACAGCAACCCAGAACACCAGAAAAAGGAAACAGACCACCTGTACAACAACTTCCAACAAAATAGATACCCACGCAACTTTAGCAAAAACTGCCTGACTACTCAACCCACTACAGCACAACCAACACAAGCTACAAAAAGGAGAACACTGCCATACATCAGAAACATTTCAGAAACAACCAACAGACTATTACAACCACATAGCATCACCATAGCACACAAACCAACTAAAGCCCTCCAAAGCATCTTAAGTAAACTAAAAGACCTAGCAGCCCAAGAAGAAAAAACAGGAGTCATCTACAAGATACAGTGTAAAGATTGTAACACTCACTATGTAAGACAGGCAGGCAGAAGACTAGCAGACTGCATCCATGGACACCAATTAGCAGTCAGAAGACACAAGGAAAACTCCTTAGTCTCACAAAACATGGACAGACTCAACCATAGTTTCAACTGGAAACTGTCAGCATCTTAGACCAAGCTAAATCCAAAAACGCAAGGGAATTCTTGGAAGCTTGGTATTCAGACAAGTCAGCCATCAACAGGCACATAGAGATTAACAACATTTACACACCATTCCAAAGAGACAATAAAAAAGCTAAAAAGGAAACAAAAAGACCAGAACACCTCCTCACCAGGAATCAATACCCAAATAAGCAGGGATTAACACCAGACAAACAATCAAGCAGTAAACAATACCCTGGTCAGGGAACTACCAAGGAGAAAACATCCCCACCAACACTGATAGGGCAAGCTACTGTATATAAACAGAGAGCAAACCCCACTCCCTTCTATCACTGAAGATGTTACCTAGTTGGGTAACAAATGACTGCAAGAAAACAGCCAAGTTCAAAGTACACCAAGGACTCCACAGTTAAACCCTGAGCTACACATATTCGCTTCTAGAGTTTTGTTATATTGTTACCACTGCAAGGTGAGTCTGAGTGACTCGAGTCTGAGTGACTCGAAAGGAATTTCTTTGTATGAAATGAAATCAGTGTCAGTGCCTGCATAATCCTTCACCAACCTGGTCCTTCACTTCTGGAGGGTGCTTGGTAATGGAAGTTCTGCCTAGTTGGCCTTAGGTAAAAAATCTTTCGTCTTGTATATGATTTTGTGTCATTTTCCCCAGGTACTTGCACTAACAATAGGACAGATGAATGTCGCTTACCAAATGGTGAAGTAACAGGTTGTTCCCACATGGCTCCCCATTGGAAAGTGCCTGATTCTAAAAAAGATTACTGCTTTGGACCAACACCATCTGTACCAACTTTCACTACACCTCCACCTGGAACATGTAGCCCAGCTCCTCTCTGTTCCCTGATTTTGAATGAGTAAGATAGAAACTATTTTATATTTCACTTTTGCTGCCCAGTGAATGTAATCATAATGTTGGATTAAATAAGATTTTTTTTTGCTCAAGAGACAGGAATTCCATTATCCCTCTTACCTATGCAGTCCTTTGCACATCTTCAAATCTGCTACAAAGTGTTGAGGGATCTTCCAATAGATTTTGAAGGCTTGCTGGAAGCTTCAGTGGCAGGGACAAATCCTGATCCCAAGAAGAAACTGATTTTGCTCAAAGAATCCCATTTATGAATTCTAACCAGTATCCTCTGATGAAGAGAAAATTATCTTTCTCTTTCTCCATTCCCTCTCTCTCTCTCAGCTGAATGCATTATCTTAGTCTAGGGACCTGGGTATGAGGTATAGCAGAAATTTATGCCAAAGTCTAGATCTCTGCAGAAATCAGTCTTGTTTGATGGCCCTCACAATGGAGCAGCCTTTCTCAACTAGAGTTCCATGAGAGGAATTCTGTGAGAGATTATGAATATATATTTTTTTTTAAAAATCCCCTCTCACCCCTATGGATGGTCTGTGTCTTCCTCAATCTCAGATCCTCTACAAGAGGCCTGGGAGTCTGAGGGTTCTGCACAGTATTTTAGCTGTCCCTAGCACTACACTCTTCTGGAAAGAGAGTTCTGATGTTGTTCCTAGGATCTGTAGGGGCCACTCTCCCAGCTTAGGAGCCACAGCCCCAATATATATATATTTCATGTGCTGTGCAAAGCTAGCTGTAGATATAATAATTTTTATGCGGGGGGTCCCTGAGACCTGAAAATTATTTCAAGGGCTCTTCCAGGGTAAAAAGTTTGAGAAAGACTGCAATAGGGTCTAAAGTTGCTACTCTATAGAAACTGTATAATGAACAAGTATGGATAGGATTGCATTTCACAAGAGCACAATTCTATAATGGGCAGTTTGGGTCACATTCTAAACATTCTCACATTTCACTTAGCAAGCCTGGCATGGAAATCCAAGCATAACCTATCCAGCTATGCCATTTTAGATCCACATATCAAACCCACAAATAGAAAACCAGAAGGGAGGACAACTCAGTCTTATATTTGTCAGAAAAATCTATATTCTAATATTGTTATTGTAGAAAATGTTTTGAGGTAACCCTGGTTAGAATCCTTCAAGTTATTCACCAGGATCCCAAGCTGGATGCAAATGTTGGTGGAACCAAGCTCATTATGAGGATCTAGAAAAAGATGTTCAAAATTCAAAAACTTTATGTAAACTTTATATGACAATATCATGCTAAGAAGGAAAGCCAGCACATTTTAGATTCCTGTACTCTTGGGGGGGGGGGTAAGGAAGAAGGAGCAGGAATTTATAACAGGGAACAGCAGGAAGTGGGCTGAAGGGGCAGTTCTAAGAGTATCCATCTTCCAATCAAGGAAATCAGACCAGCAACAAAGAGATCAGGGGGGAAGTTCCTTGCTGCTTATCTTTACATTTAATGCCTCTAGTGGCAAATTAGGTGCAAAAAGACAATCCTTCTCAAACTGTATCTCCGACAATTATAACATTTCCATGGTTACTAATTGAAAAGTATGTTTCAAAAATGTGATATAACTTATAACTACATTATAGTTAATTTTCTTTAAATGCTTTCCATTCTGTTGGTTTAATATACATTTGTACAATTGCTGAAAGTTCATGAAAGTTTCATAATTGATATTAGAAAGGCTTTATACCTGGAAAACTAATTCATAGTCAGTGTTTTCACTCGTAGAAAGTTCTTTGGAACCAGAAATTCTAGGTTCTACCTTTTTTTTTTTTATCATTCCCTTTCATTTTCCATTTAAAATAGTCCTATGATTTTAAGGAAGCTCCAACTAAATGAGTAAAACAATGTGTGCTTATTCAGAGATATCTATTTTACACCAAGGACTTCTTCTATTTTTGCAGAACCTTCTTGGAGTGCCATAAGTTCATACCCCCAGAACCTTACTTCCAAGGCTGTCTCTTTGAGGCTTGCAACACAAAAAATGTCTCCATGCAGTGTTCAGAATTAGAGACATATGCTTCTATCTGCGCCTCTATAGGTGTTTGTATCGATTGGCGAGGGAAGACCAACAATGCATGCCGTAAGTCCTGGAATGTCAATCATTTACCTATTTATTTATTTATTTATTATATGATAATCACTTCCTCACTTCCTTATTTCTAGTTTTTCAAGTACGCCTTCAATGAGAACTTTGTGTGGCACTCATAAAAGTGATAGCCAGAGAAAGAGAGGCACTAGAAAGGATTTCTGATTCATTGAGCAATTAAATATTTTCTTAATAGACACGGGAATATTCAACCACCATTCTTTCAGATAAGGAATGTATTTCATTAAAAACTGTGATATGAAAAGAAGTGCGTCCAACTTCAGGAACATTTACACAAAATGTACAACTATGTGAAAAGTAACACATGCATGTGGCTGGAATCATTGTTTATATCTGTTAATATAGTTGTTGTTATTACTGTTGTTGTAGTAGTATGTAGTTTCCGGGTGGGTTTTTTTTCCCCCTTCTTTTTTCCACATGCATAAATTAAATAAAGAGATGGAAAAATCATGAGAAAAAAAGTTGTGCTGAAACTTTTTCCAAATGCAGAATGTATGGAAAATACATTTCTATATTATGATGAGCTCATTTCTCTTATTATTTATAGCATTTAGCTGTCCTACAGATAAAGTATATGATCCATGTGGCCCCATCAATCCTCCCACATGTAACAAGTAAGTAAAACTCAAAAGAGCTTTGAAAGTTTACAACTGTCATGATGAAATGAATAACATGCTGAATTTGTAATTAAAGTACATAAGTGGAATAAAGTTTTACTATATTCAAAAGAAAAGGAGGAGAAAGGAAGCAGCTCATCACAAATCACAAAAGAATAACAAAAGGCAAAGAAAAGGGTAACAGAAAGAAAAACGGGGGAAAAGACTATTTGGGCTCAGACTTAGGCAATTGTAAAGAGCTGCTTGAATGAACTAGATTTCAGATCGAGTACCTCCTGATATTGTACACATTCAAATGTCATAATAGGATGATTAAATGCTAGAAATTATCAATGGTCTGAATTTCTAATTATGCCTGAAAACTCCTGAAGACCGAATGAAGTACCAGATTACTGGAGGGGTGCAAATGTTGTCCTTGTTCTCAGAAAGGGAGCAGGAAACTACAGATTACTCAGTCTGACAATGATTTTGGAAAATTCTGGAGCAGATCACAAAATGGCCAAACAGCTTGAAAACAAAGCAGGCATTATGAGAAGTTAGCATGGGTTTGGTCAAGAATAAATCTTGCCAGAGTAATCCATTTTTTTTAATTGGGCAACTTCTGTTGTTCACTGTGGGAATCTTTATTTCAGTATATTATTTGACAAAGCAACACATGACATTCTGATTATCCAGCTAGTTAAATATGGGCAAGATGTCATGTCATTAGGTAGATCCACAATTAGCTCTCTCTTTTTTTAATAATAGTTTTATTACACAATTAGCTCTCTTTCAGTGCACTTTGAGCTCATCAGAAGTTCCTAACCGAAGTAGAAGGTATCAAGCAGGATGCCAGTACCTTTCAATGTTTCCATTAATGACTTAGCTGAAGAGGTAGAAGAAATTGTTATCAGATTTGCAGATGACACAAAACTGGCAAAATTCAAAATAATACCAAGAGGTTAGAGAAGTGGGTAGAAAACAACAGAATGGAATTTTATAGGGGGGAAAATGCATCACTTAGGAAGAAGAAATCATACGGCCGGGAATATAAAAGGGTTGTCCGGCTTGGAAAAGCATGGATGAAAAGGGAATTGTAACTGATCACAAACTGACTATGACTTAGTAGTATGATGTGACTTTTCAAAAGCAATACAATTTTAGGCTGCATTAATAGAAACAACATTTCCAGATCATGAGAAATAATTTTCTCCATTATTTGGACCTTCCCTCTGAGTACTCTGTTCAGTTCTAGCATCACATTTTTAAAAAGGATCAGATAAATTGGAACTGGGCAGAGGTTTAGATGGGGTTGATTCAATATGGTTGATTAGAGGTTTAGAAACAAAATCTTAATGAGGAATGGCTGAAGGAACAGGGCATGTTTAGCCTTGAGGAAAAAGGATTGACTAGGAGACCCAACAGCTCTGTTCAAACACCTGAAGGAGGTCATACAGAAGGTAGCCAAGCCTTATTGTGTATCATTTAAGAGAGCAAGGTACAAAACAATGGATTTAAGATACAGGAAGGCAGATTCCAACTCCATGCTAGGAAAAATCTCCTGATAGTATGAGCAGTTTGATAGGGGAACTAATTACCAAAGGAAATAGTAGGTTCAATTAGAGGTCAGAGAGCCTTTTGTTGGGGGTTCTTTAATTTAGACTTCTGCACAGAGCAGGGAGTTTCATTCAGGGGCCTGAATAACCCTTTCTCGCTTTATGATTTATGATATTTAATGCTATTATCATAATAAGTTGTATTCCTTTCCTCCATCTGCAAAATCATACTTGCCCCCAAAATCTGCTCCAAAGAGTTGGGTGGGGAACCCTCTGGACTAAATTCTGAGAATATGTGCAGAGAATAAGAATTCTCCTTTCTACTTTGTCAGGAAAAATTTATTTTTCTATAAATGTAAGAACAATGCTATGGATTTATTTCAGTCATGGTTTCATAAATCTGTCCTGTGTTCAAAATTACTCTGTGGCCACGGGCTTGGACCTCCTCTTTCATCATGACTAGTTCTCTCTCACAGGGAGGATAAAACTTGATGACGAGAGGCACTTACATCAGCTTGAGCCATTTCAAGGAAAGATGGAGATATTGAAGTGGCAACCAAATAAGGAATAAGCAGGAGATTGATTGATTGATTGATTGATTGATTGCTTTTATGTCCCACTGCATTCCCATTGGACTCTCAATGGTTTCACAAAAATATGGATCTAAAACATTGCAATAAATAGTACCAGAGAACTAAACCACCCCAAGGATAAATCTAATAATTCAGAAGATTATGATGGGATTCATCATCATGCAAGTCATTTGGTGCTTGACTTTTTTCAGATTTCTCAAGAAACATTGACATTATACATCTCATTCATCCCTTAGTGCTTATTAAGTTGTGCACACAGTGTGGATATTCATAATACAGGGGTGCAGCTGCTTGTCTAATTTGCGCTTCTTTTTTCATTGAAGTGATCCTCAGGAGACTGGAATAATGGAAGGTTGCTTCTGTAAAAATGGAACCAAACTCTTCAGTGCCCACAAGGATATCTGTGTCCCTGATTGTGGTAAGTATTCTTGTTTAAGAAAAGGGGAGGCTACCACAATGCAAAGGGACTGCTAGACAGACAGATCTGATTTCAGTAGTTTCCAGAAAGGAAGATCAGAAATTATCATTAAAAGGAGATTATCACTTAAATAATAAATGATGGATGGATCAAAACCATGCACCCAAAAATGTGGATATGTGAAACTCTTTACCATGGATAAGGAGGTCTGGTCTGTACCTACCAGCTGCAGTACACAAAATTGAATAACAAGATCCTGGATAATGAAGGTCACTTGTATTAATATGCAAGATGTATTGAAAGAGTTCTTTCACAGAGATAAGGTTTTGTTCAACAGAGGATTTTTTCCTCCACAAATGCATTCTAAAAAGTGTTCTTTGTATGATAATCCCTCTACAAGTGTCATTTGGTGATGGATTAGCATTCTATTATTATTTACCCATGAAATCTACAAAATGCATCTATAACTTTCCTTGTAATACCTGAAGTTCAGGTCACCTAACATTCCTAGCATCTTCCTGTTGATTTTTGATCCAGGAGACAGAAGAAATTAGATTCCATAGGCCTCCACAGTCAGTGGCCTCTTGCTTTCTACACAAGTTAAATTTTTATCCCTTCCATTAAATCTAGCAGGAGAGGCAAGCTGTAGGTCCCACTGGTTAAAGAATGTCAGCTTGTGGGACCCAGGAAGTGGGCCTTTTTGGTTGCTGCTCCTGCCATATGGAGCTCTATTCTCCCTGAAATTAGAAGAGACCTGACCCTGTTGCCTTTCGGAAGGCCCGCAAGACATGGATATATTCCCAGACATAGAGGTCGGAGTGTTAGTGGGAACCCGTGATGTGCTTATTTTGTCTAGACTGGTTTGGCCTCACCTGCTGCATGTATTGCTGTGTTTTATATAATGTTTTGTGTTGTTTTTAAATGTTGCAAGCTGCCCACAGTCACTATTGTAAAATACAGTAAACTATTATAAATCAAATAAATAAAGTAACTTAGATGTTCTTCTATGCAAAATATCCATTCGTATATATACATTTTTTTCCAGGTTGTACTGGACCAGATGGGTTACCCAAAGCGGCAAGTATTCAAGCTTTTATTGTTTCCTAAAATATAGATGGGTGAATTTCTGAGGGCAATAGGAGCTCCAGGGAAACTAAACATTTTCAAGACTTTTTCAATATTTGGAGGGTTTTAATGAGACAGCAGGAAAAGTTACATCCATTGGCTCAGTGTCAGCCAGCAGCAGGAAAACCCACTTTATTAAGCGTGCACACCTTTGTTTGCACAACTCTCTTCCCCTGTGTGTGGCCAATATCTACTTCTCCAAAGCAACAATGCATGGCAGCTGCTATAGTTCAGTGGAGTTCCTTAGGCCCAGATTTTTATGTTAAAAAAATCTATAGCGCATATAATTTGTTAAATATCTCTTTTCGCAGCCTGGAGAAACTTGGATTAGCAATTGCCAGAACTGTACTTGTGAGGAACATTCTCTTGTAGTACAATGTACAAAAGAACCATGTCCTACAAAACCTACTCCTGTGGAATGTTTTTTTGAAGGGTTTGTACCCATCACAATATTAACCCCTGAAGAAAAGTGCTGTCCTCAAAAACACTGTGGTAGGTATAATTCTCACAAATACTGTATGGTAAATGGCCTTAGCTAACATCCCAGTTTTTATTTAGAAAATTCCAACTGATTAGATTACAGTGGACGCTTCAGTTTAGCGAAGGCTCTGTGTTGTTAATCATCTAGTACAGAAGTTAACCTGCCCATTTTACAAACATAGATGCACCTCCTATTCTCTACAAGTTCAAAAGCTAATGCTTATAGGATATAATTGGACTGTTGAGAAACTCCTTGCCAATTGTTTTGATGAAAATGAAGTTAAACCATAGGACCAGGAATTATAAAGACTTGCGGTCAAATTTATACTTAAATATACAATTTACTGGATTTACTATAACTTAGTTTAATCTACTCTTTGAGTTGCTCTGAGATAAAATGAAAGAAAGATAAACTGTGCTGATAAATATTAAAATATGTTGAATTTAATTCACTCATTGCTCTTACCCCTTTTTATTTTTCATTCTGTAGTGTGCAACACTTCTCACTGTCCCAAGTCTATTGAAACCTGTCCATTAGGATATGAATTAAAGAAGGAAAACATGCCAGGAGACTGCTGCATTAACACCACTTGTGGTAAGAACTGAGCCATTGTTAAAAATAATCCCTGAATTGTTGTAATATTCTTCCCTATCCCCCATTCCAATGCCTACAAATACTCAGAAAGCATATTCATCCTGTCTCATGGAAAGCCATTTCAGAAGAGATCTCTTCAGCTGGAGGTAGACTTTATTTTATTTCCTAGTGTAAAGTGATACTTGCTCTACCTTTGCTCTGAAGTTGGGCATCCTTAATTTCGTATATATATATGTCATTTCTGCTGCTAGCCTGTTGGCAATATACAGTTTTAAAGGGACTGGTCTTTTCTTCCACCCTTAAATAATGTGAGGATTGTTAGAATCCCAAGTAAGTTGACTGACCTTGCTGGAGGTGATCCTAGCAAAGTTACTGAATGTTTCTGTCAAGGATGCTATCTGTATGGAACATGTATGGATGAAAGTGTTGTAGGCCAAAATATATGATGCTCACCAGAAAAGACTAGTGTTTGAGGTATGCATCGGGTCAGACCAAATGTTTTAGAATTTGCAAAGATTAATTTCCCCAAGCATCCTACACAATACTGTGTGCTAAATAAACAGTTTTTGTTCCAGCACACACCCTTAAAAAGCAACTTTTGAAGAGCAAATTGCATCCATTTTCATTGTCATTTTCCTTCTCAGTTGATCTGATCTGTTGAGAGCAAATATGAAGATTAATTATAGTGTATCTTTGTGTCCCACAGTGAAAGTACCAGGCTGTGTTGTCAATGGGAGCTTCTACAATGTAAGTAGTTTTCATTAAAATGAGGAATAGCACCAGTGAAACGAGTTTAATGTTAACAGTGCATTTCCTACAGCAGGCCATTCCTGCCTCTCTAGCTCACTAAAGACTTTCAGGGATGACAATGGTGAAATCCTCCCTTTTGAAAACATAAAATCCTGCTCTTATTTGTATCCATTCTCAACCTTATCCTTATTTACTCCATTTATTCTACCCTGTTCAACAAACGTAGTTCCCTTGTAGGAATATCATGGAATTAAAAATATCAAGCAATCAATGGTTATTAATAAACCAGAACATAAACCAGGATCAAATCATCAGCAGTATCAAAAGCAATCATAAACACAGCACTCAAACACACACACACACACACACACACACAATAAAAATAAAAGCCAAATAGTGTGAGAACTTTTTTTTTAACGCCAGACAAACATCTTCACCTGGCATCTTAAAGACCAAAACACAGGTATCAAGCATGGCTCCTTCTGAAG